TCCGAGTTCGTGAAGCTCTCTCTCATCGGATGCTGCCTCTTCAACGCTAACGCTCTCTCTGCTAAACGGCTAGAGACCTGCGGCGAGTGGTTAGCCAGTTGGTGGGCGTGCCGCGTCGATAGCGGCGCGGAGAAGGCCATGCTTGATCGCCTGGGGCATATCCTTCGCTGCGAATTTCGTGTCGGTCCGCACCCTTGGCGGGTATGACTGTCTTTCCACTTGGTAGAGTCCACAGAGTTCCCATTCTTCGATCTTCGACCTTGTTGTGGAATCTTCAAATGAGATTTTAAGGGTTATTAACAGTCACAAAATTTGTGTACCGAGCTGTCGGATTTCACGTTTTTTTCCCCTTTTCGCCCCACCCCGAGTGTTCATTTTTCCTTGATTCTTATTTCATTTATTTTACTTCGGGTTTTCGTACCAAAGTTGTTCATTCTTGATTTCAGGGAGAATTCTATAATGGAGTACGTGATGTCGAGCTGTTACAAGAATTTATAATGCAGCGAATGACATCTGAGGTGGGCGTTTTTCGACTCGTTTTTTAAGAAAATACTACAATTTGTCAGTTCGATATAGGCAGGCGGCCGCTTTGTAGCTTTCTGGAGCCTGCAAAACAGAAAAATGAAACACTCTTCCCATGCAGTCAATCTCAGCTGCATGCCCCAGGATCGCACTGGTGTGGCTCTTGCACACGAATGTGAATGTATCGGTGCGAAGTGGGCCGGCAGTGAAGAAAAAAGGAAAAGAATCCGTCGAAAACGCTTAGGTTGAGGGCTCACTCACCTTCTAATGCGGCTGTGCTAAGGCAATGAGAGACTGAGCGCGGAGAGGAGAGTATGAGGCGAGAGAGCGCAACAGATGAGAGGGCGCCAGACAACTGCCTGAAAACATTGCAGCTGCTGCAGCTACTTTGCAAGGCCCTAGCGCCCTTGTCGGGTGATTTCCATGCAGGAAAGTGCCACATCTGTGATTGTCCTCAAGGGATTTATCCTACAGAGCGAAGGGAACCGTTCGCGTGTCTTGTGCCTGGGCTTCGTTATTAACACATTCACGCCGATGGCCGCCCATATGGGCTGCCAGCTGATAATCGCTTGCCAGGCGCTAGGAATGGACAGATAGGTGGGCAAATCTCGTAATCGAGTGTAAAATGCTTTTAAAATCCTTC